CTGTCCCCTGCTGCAGAACCCTGTCCTCTGCCCTCCCAGCACTCTGTTCCCTCTCCCCTGCCCTCAGCCGCAGAACTCTGTCCCCACAAAATGTATAATTATAAATGCTTCATTTTAGATTTAAATAGCATGAATAAAAAACAGACCATTTATTTCATAACTATAAACACGTGATTTTAATTTTATACCTCGCATAATTTAAAAATAAACTGTTTATCAGAGTGTGTAAGTAAGGGCTGGGGATAGCAAATGATGGACAGGAGGAGAATAGAGAGGGCGGGGCTTCAAGGAAGGGGCAGGGTGGTAGATCTTCACCTGTTCTGAGATTTAAAAAGTGATCTTGGGTGTAAAAAGGTTGGAGACCACTGCATTAGGATGTGGAAATTAACAGAGGTAGCCCTGTTAGTCTGATCTTGGTAAAACCAAAAAAAGCAGTCATGAAGCACTTTAAAGACTAAGAAGATGGTTTATTAGGTCATGAGCTTTTGTGGGGCAGACCACTTCTTAGATCATCTGAAGATAGTGTGTGAGTCAGCTGATACCCAGTTCATACCATTTGCATAAGAATTAATCTTGTGAATGAAGTTGAGTTCCAACCCGTCTGTGTATTTGGCTTGTGGAATTGGCCTGAAACAAAATGGTGACTTGGAGATTAACGAGTGTCCAGGCAGATTAAAGTGTTCTCCAACAGGTTTTTGTACTATCTACTCACTGTCTTTCTTTTTCCTCCCCTCCTTTTTTCCTTCCTCCAGAATTGCCACCACTGCCAGAGAAGAAATGGGAAACACGGCCATCAATGAAAAACAACAATCTACTAGCAGCTTAAAGACTAACAAGACATATAGGCTGTGTCTACATTGGCATCCCTTTCCGGAAAAGGGATGCTAATGAGACACTTCGGAATTGCAAATCCGTGGGGGATTTAAATATCCCCCGCGGCATTTGCATTTACATGGCTGCCGCTTTTTTCCAGCTCGGGGTTTTTGCCAGAGAAAAGCGCCAGTCTAGACGAGATTCTCCGGAAAATTAGGAATAAGGGATCTTCCGGGAAAGGGCTTATTTTCTGGAGAATCTCGTCTAGACTGGCGCTTTTCTCTGGCAAAAACCCCGAGCTGGAAAAAAGCGGCAGCCATGTAAATGCAAATGCCGCGGGGGATATTTAAATCCCCCACGGATTTGCAATTCCGAAGTGTCTCATTAGCATCCCTTTTCCGGAAAGGGATGCCAATGTAGACACAGCCTATATGTCTTGTTAGTCTTTAAGCTGCTAGTAGATTGTTGTTTTTCATTGATGGCCGTGTTTCCCATTTCTTCTCTGGCAGTGGTGGCAATTCTGGATCTGTGCAGATTTTAAAATATTTCATTGCTTTGGTTCCCATTTGGAAGGCTACCTTCTCAAACAAGTCCCAGAAAATTTTTTGAAATGAATGTTTAGGTACTACAGGAAATGACACTTTCCCAGGAAAGATGCACGCTTCGAAATTGATTTTTTTTTTCAAGCTTTGTTCATATTTACACAGTCTAAATAGCATTCTCATTATTTCACTTTGCTTCCTGTTCTGTTCTTCTTCCCTTAGATAAGCTCATTTACAGTTTTACCTCCTTGTGGGTAAAATTGTAATTCCACTCTTTATTTTTTTTTTTAACCCATTACGTCTAAGACTTGGTTTCTTCTAATCTGTTTTATAACAGGACCTGGTTACATGTCGGCTTTATGTAGTCTCATTCTCTTCATGTCATCCATAGATGTGAAAGTGGCTTTTAAGAAAAGCTAAAATGTCCTTATAGAAAATGAGTTTTGTTGGGGGAAGCCAGAACTGTTTTAGAAAACACTGTCCAGTGTAGTATTTAACACTTTGCTCTACCCTCTCAAAACCATAGGTTCATTTCCCCGTGTTTTGTTCCCTGTGCTGGGAGTTTGTGGATAGTTTTACACGATTGTTATTGGAAGATGAGGATTATGTGGTACTACTGTATTTAATAGCTATATTAGAGCATGACTGCAAATGTAAACCCATTGAGTTTTCTTTTCATTTCCAGGATTGTACAAGAAATCTGGAAAACTAGTGTTTTTGGGCTTGGACAATGCTGGTAAAACCACTCTTCTGCACATGCTCAAAGATGACAGATTGGGTCAACATGTCCCTACACTACATCCTAGTAAGTTATCCAGTGATTTGATTTAAGTACCTTGTTTACTGCTTTTTCATCTTTAGAAATTGACTTAGATAGTTACAATAGTCTTCAAGGTCAGTTTTGAGTTAACTTTAATTTCACCTGAAGAAACAAGACAACTTGAGTAAGTCTTGTAATGAAACACCAGTTGATTTACATAAAGTGAATACAGAATGACTGACTTAGTTAAAACAAGCTTATTTTAAACATAATTGCTTTTCTAGATTAGATATAAAATCCATGTTTAGGGACTAATCAGGATGTACTCTTAGGTAAGGAGTTGCTCTTTTCTATTTTAATGATCCTATGAAATGACTTGAATCCTCTGTAGCTTTGTCCTAATGTAATAGGTGTCTCATACCATTCTGTGTATGGCTGTTGAAATTATTTGAAATTCATAATATGATTATGGGGAGGGCTCGACAAATAGTACAGTCTACTCGCCCGTGGTGAGTAGATTGTAACCCGGAAGAGCCGGGTTTGGGCGATCTGCGCATGCGCAGAACCCCGGACAGCACAATTCGGCGAGCCCTGAGTATGGGAAACCACCAAACACCAGTTTAGTCATACATTCTTCATTAAACCCAGGGTCAACTATTATTTAATACAGTTGCTCTGAACATGTCTAACAGCCTAAAAATAAGCAGTCACTATATCCAAGCAGTTTTTTAAAAGGTATATAAGTACACTGAGCAATATACTTAGAAATAGGCAAGACCTAGAGAAAATAGTCTCATCCTTATGTACTCTAGTATAATAGGGTGGTGCCTGACATAGAACCTAAAAAATTAATTCCTTTTTATATTCTTCAGCAAATAGATGTCATAGCCAATTACCACTTTAGCTAATAACTAGTTTGAGACATTTCACCCTCATTTTTTAATTTTACAAAATACATTTACAGCCTCCTTCTTCCTGAGTCTTTCCTCTTTATCTTTTCCCTTTTATCCTCCTGACCAACAGCTTACATTTCACCTAGGGTTCACACAGGAGACAACACTGGCACATGGGTGGGAAAACCCAGGTTGACTCTTTTAAATGCAGGTTATTTTTGTCGTCTTGAAACCCATTTGCAATCATCCTTATCAATCAGAGACCTTCTTTTTAGGAACTTATTTCGTTAGATACCCTTTGGACTAGAAATCTTCCCTATTTCATTTCTTTTGGCCTTATAACTCATTATTTTCAGGGCCTTCCTTCTATTTGTCAGTCAGGACCTTTCTTTACAACTCCTATGTCCTCAGCCAAATTTAAGCTAACTCTTACGGGACAGTAAAATATGGTGGATGTGATGATGGCTGCAATTCAGCTAACTCAATACTTTCTTCTTTTTTTTTTTAGCATCAGAAGAGTTGACTATTGCCGGAATGACTTTCACAACTTTTGATCTTGGTGGACATGAGCAAGGTAAAAATGGACTTTTTTCAGGCTGGGGGTATTGAAAAGAACAGTCAATATTGCATTTCATATTGACACTAAGACTTATTCAATCAGCAGGCTAAACTTTAGCCATCTTAAGCAAAATATGTTGGAGAGCCCTGATTGTGGTCTCATTTTAACTTTTAAAATTGAGTCATATTCATTTTGATTAACTTAAATTTCATTTACTGTAGCAGTTAAATTTTAGTTCATCTGCTTCTGACAGTTTGTACAAAATCATCCTTTCAGTACACTTCTGCTCTAAATCTCTTACCATAGAAGGCTTACATGTGCATAAAACCACAATGAAGCTTCCTAAAGGTGGTTTGCAAAGAACTCTTTAAATATAGTTGACCTTTCTTTGCTTTTTTAGAACATTAAGGGTTCTACTGAAAGCTTTTTCTGATTCTTTTGCCTTAGAAATATCAGAAATGTCAAATCTAGAGTCCCTTATCTTTTATGGAGCATCTTCTGTGAAACTTATCAGTCTCGTGAGTGCTTACATCTTAATTGAAGGGACTGGAACGTTCTTGTCTCCAAAATGATCATTAGTAATTGAAATCAAATAGACTTCTAGTCCTGTTTATTTTTAAATAACCTGAAAAAAGTCCCTTCCCACTTAGCTTCTCAGCTTTCGCTCTCAATTCTGGGGTTAGTCACCATCTTACTAATTCTCCAGCTCAAGGAAGCCCAGACCTGTTAATATTTGGGGAAAACCTTTCAGACATCTTATACCTCAAAGAAACAAAGGTTGCAAACCCATTTTTTCTTTGCGTATCACTTTAACCCATGGTCTAGTAGTTCTTTAAAGCTAACATGGTATCACGGTGGTGGGCTTGGTATAAGAACCTGAAAAGAACTAATAAATAGCTTTTAAATAGTACAAAAATAAGTCATTCAAGTGGCTGATCAATGAAAAGTTTAAAAAATAATGTTAAACGTCTGCAGAATGGTTTGGTTAATTCTGCTAGCAAAACAGAGGGTAAGAGGTAGAGCTGGCAATTAGTGCAAGTCATTGCTTCAATATAGTTGTTTATCCGAAGTATTTAAAGTTTAAACAAACCATACTTTTCCTATTTGTGGGCATGAGGTCCTCTCTCATAGCAGAGTTTTCACAGAAGTATGTATTCTTTTCTATTCTAGCTCGCCGGGTTTGGAAGAATTATCTGCCAGCAATTAATGGAATTGTCTTTCTAGTGGATTGTGCTGATCATTCACGTCTCATGGAGTCCAAAGTAGAACTTAATGTATGTTTCTAGTTTGTAGGGTTGTTTCGATGTAGGAGCCATGCAGTTTTATAGATTCAAACTTTCTCCCCCTACTAGTAGGCTGGAGCTTAATATAACACTAATTTCTTGGCCATTTAGAGAAATTTTCCAAGCATTATAATGTTCCTTTAAATGTAAATGGCTTTAGGCAACTCACATTAATCATCCCACTCCCCCCAAAAATTCCAGCATTTTAAATTCCAAACACTATTGTGTTTATATATTAAAAAAATAAAAACCACACCATCAGTTCACTCTGTGTCTCCAGGAGCCTTGACCATATGACTGCTATGTGAAATGGGGGGGGAGGGGAGGGCACAGTGGCTCCATCTCCGCATGCCCCCTGAAGTAGCATCCTCCTGCCTCTGGATTTTGCCTCCAGCCTGCCCAGCCCACGCACCTGCCATGCAGCTTGGTCTGTGGCCCAGGCTTAGGCACACTCTCTCAGGAGCTCAATCCCCGTGTACCACCTCAGCATCTGGCTGCATCTGGGCCCTGCCTGCAGCCTACCCAGCCCACGTGCCTGCTGCTTGGCTTGGTTCTTTGCAGCCCAAGGCTCAGGTGTGCTCTCGCATGCCTGCTGTGAGCTGGGCAGGTCTTGCACCCCAGCCACTTCCCCAGCTCTCCAGAGCAGCTACTCTGCACTTCTGGCTTCCTGGACTCACCATGGAGGAAAGCTGCCCCAAAACACCTGTGTGCAAAGGCTGGATGGGGGCAGGCTGTGGTTCTTGCTGCGGTGGCCAGGGCTGTTCTGCGCATCTGGGTGGTGCTCTTGGCAGGGCGGTTGGGGGAGCGCAGATTGACAAATTTGTGGGAGGGTGCAGGGTGTGTATAGGGAGGGAGGAGGATAAGGTGTATGTGGGGATGGGTATGCAGTAAGGGGGATGGTGGGTGAGGGAGCTATAGGAATGGAAGCAGGGGGATGGTCAATGTGAGGTTGGGGTGGGATAAGGGAAGAATGGATATGTAGAAATGAATGAAGAAAGTAGGGGTAGGGATAGGAGCGTGGGGTGGGAAGTGGTGTTAGGGAGGATGGTTAGTGCAGGAATGGAGGCAGGAGGATCAAGTTGAAGTACAAGTTGCACAATGGAGGAGAAACTGAGGGAAAGGCGGGGCTGCCTATCCCCAGAGACGGGGGTTGAAGAGCATAGCAAGCAGGAGATACCGCCCCCTAGTTTTTTTAATGGAGAATTATCTATTGTACAGTCAGTCACAGGAGCAACATATACTGCTACTGCATATACCAACACAAGTTTTAAAAACTGGCTGAAAGTGTTACATGCTCTTGTGGGCTTACTGTCTATTAAAAAATCTTCAGATAATTTTCAATAGCGAGTGTATTTTACACAACAGCCGTCTTCAGGAAACCATTGTGGTGAGATTTGTACTCAGTTCTCAGGAACCTTTTCCTCTTCAAAGTGCCATAATATTAAAATATTTTAAATTGTTGCCAGTTCTGATTTGAAGCAAAGAAATAAAAGGTTATTACAGATAATGAGTTTTTGTATTGCATCGTATGAACACTTGTGAATTGCTTGTAGGCACTAATGACAGATGAAACAATATCCAATGTGCCAATCCTTATCTTGGGTAACAAAATTGACAGACCAGAGGCCATCAGTGAGGAGAAACTGAGGGAGATTTTTGGGCTTTATGGACAGACTACAGGAAAGGTAAGAAGAAAAATTTGAGCCTTTGACCATTCATAAGGGAACTGAGATCTTTTTTTAAGAAATAATGTAAGGTGTTACCAAGAGTGTACACCGGGGAATTTTTTACCAAGGCATTCTGTCCAAACATCATTTGAAAAATATTAAAAATATTGGAGTATAAATATTTCTGAAAGAGAATGCAATAGTTTGTCAATTTGGAAGCTTTTTGTACTGCTCACCTAAGTTCTGCTCCTGTCTTAGGCATCCTTGTGTTTTACTTTGTTAGAAATGAGTGCATTTTCTTATAAAGCAGCATTAAATAGATGATTAAACACAATTATGAAGGAAAAAGTGGAAAAATGCAAGAATACACTTTTGGTACTCTAGAACTTCCACATTCTATGCATCTTGTATTTCAATTTTAAAATTCATTAAGTTGTATGACTGCTATATCAAAATAGTTGCCCAGATGTTCTCTTAAAACAGATTTCAGGTTATGTACTTCCATGATCCTATTGCTCAAATGTCTGTCTGAGTCTCTTGACTCTCTCTAGTCTGGCTGTTAGGTCTGTAGGAGCAACTATTGAGATACCGTTATGGACAACTAACTTTAAAAGGCTGTATAGAATAATACTAAAAAGGTCTCTGAAACTGGTAAGTGAAACTTCAGAAGGAAAACCTTGTTAGTCCAGTATTTGATTCCTAGATTACCATTTAATAAGGGTGAAGAAACTGTACCTCCTTGCACCTACATACTCAGTGCTTATTCTTGTGTTTCTGACTTCTTCCTATTTTGTTGATTTCCCAGGGAAATGTGCCACTGAAGGACCTGAATACACGTCCCATGGAAGTGTTCATGTGCAGCGTGTTGAAGAGACAAGGCTATGGTGAAGGCTTTCGTTGGCTATCGCAGTACATTGACTGATGTTTGGACAGACATAGTTTTACTCCTTTGGACTGATCCTGTTCACAGCTTCCTTATGGACTTTTCTATTAGAATGTGGAAGGCTCTCCTGCCACATATTGGCATTGACCAAGAGACTCCTGGTTTTCAACTATCCTCTTGCACAGTGGTGACACAACTCTTTTCCACATGACTGGGAGATAACACAATTCTGCACACTGGTGCAAGTTGTCCCTTTTTGTTGCCATTGTTGCCCACAGAATCCATGGCTTTCAGCTACAATGGGGCTGATGTGATCTGGAATCCAAAAGTCTGCGCACTGCACTGTAACAGCTGAAAAAGAGAATACGTCTCACCACTGTGGCTAATTGACTTAAAGAAAGCAATTATATTTTTTAAAAGAAAGTGTTAATGTAAGCATTGTCCCTTCTAACTTTTTGGTTAAACATTTATCTTGTTTGGTCTGGAGTCTATTAGGGTTTTTTAAAATCTATTTAATGGTATTTAGATATTTTCCACCTTATTGAACCCCAAGTATCATGATATCAAGTCCTAAATAAACACAGATTTGGGCTTAATTGGTGTATAGGATGGTTGTGTTGTGTCACATTAGGTGATCATGAAGAGGGTGCTGTTGGGACAAACTTGTGCAATGAAACTTCTTTAATTTACAGGGATTTTAGTTGGAAAAAGGACAGATAAGCACATATGTTCTGTTGATGCCTCATGCTTAGGTATTTGAATGCAGTTTCCAGCCTCACCTTAGTGAAGGGGTGATGCTATGGAAGGGATTGTAGCTGTTTTGTTCAGTTTCCCATCAGCAGTCTTTCTGCTGTGGTGGATTAGATTTATTGGGTTCTCACTCTAGAATGTAGAAAGTTCTTTGTTGCAGGGTTCCACTGTATTATAACAGTAAAAAATCATGATGTTATTTTGTTACTGTAGCATGAGTGTTCCTTTGCATATAAGGTTGTTCATATAGACTACACCAGTTTCTTTTTATACTTAACAGACATTGTCTGAAGTTTCTTTTCTGTCTAAAACTCATACTTAACAGACATTGTCTGAAGTTTCATTTCTGTCTAAAACTCCTTTTCAGTTAAATAAAATAAAGACATATCTTCCTCCACAAGAGGTGGTGATATTTAGTTTAAACTTATTCATGCTTTCATAATTGGCAAGTATCCATCATTGGGGAAAGTGAAGAATATTGATTGTTACACTATACAACGTAAAGCCCTGATAATAGCTTGTGTGAACTTGCCTGCCACCTCTCACATCCAATAGTTAATGGAAAAATTATATATAAATGAGAAGTAAAACAAATCTTAACTCTTAAATCCTGTTTATTCTTGTGCCATTGACATTCGGATAATCTCCACACTAAACAGAATTATACTCCTGTAAAGTGAAGACTAGACTCAGCTCTAATTCCCTAGACCAACATCTGTTGCTCCTACTGAGGAAAAGAGGAACTTTAGGGATAAATGATTGAAATAGTACTCAATTTTTCTTTTTGCCAGCTGATTCTATTCCCACAAGTGGTAGTGGTAAACATTAAGAAACAGTGTATACTAACGTTGGGTTTGTCATTTTGAGCCAGTTTCATCAAGCATTCACTGGTTTGTCGGAAGCCATATATTTTTCTAGGGTAAGTGTTAGAATATTCTATGTAAGTGTCATTGTGGCATGTGAGACACCATATGTTGGGTATGAATTTAGTTTTGCAACCAGAAAAGGCTAACTGTGCTGTAAAAAATGGTACATATGTTCTTCTCATCTGGCATAGAAACATATAGCCCTTACTTATTTCACTAAATGAGTGTTAGGTTCTAAGTTGAGCTGAGCTTTCTTTAGGAAAAGCTTCAAGGACTGGCAGGTTTGCTGAAGATGAAGGGAATTGAGAGAAGGCTGACCCTTCCTGGGGTGTAAAGCATCTGTCTGTCTGCCTTTAGAATATAGGATAATTAACATGCTAATTTGCTGTGATGTGTCCTCCATTGGGCTGTACATCAGTCATGGTCACAGAAATAAGGCCTGCTTATCACTTCAAACTTGTTAAAAGGGTTTGAATGACGTGTCTTCCATTCTTGTTCAGATATTAACATCAAGGTTAGAGTGTTCATTAACTTGGTGAGATGGCATTGTCATGAACCTGGCCATCACTAACAGTGATTCCACTAACCAGCTTAATATTGCTGATTTTGTTTCTTAGTCAAAAACACTACAGTGTTACAATTAGAATATAGGGAAGTGTTCTCAAAGTGGACCACAGGCTCACTCAGAGAGCTGCTAACAGATCACTCCAGTTTGTTTACTTACCAGCTCTGCAGCCATTTGCAACCAAGGGAAGTTGCGAGGCTCTGTGGCTGCAGAGCCAGCAGTTAAACTGGAGTGGCCTGTTAGCTTTCTTAGAGTGGGCCTGTGGCCCACTTTGAGAAACACTGATCTAGGGCTAATTTTATACTTGGCTCATGAATAAGAATGGTTGGTTTTGGACTAGCTTCTGTTGATCAATACAAGACTGGCAATTCTGATTATCTGTAACTGTGTACTAGAGCATTTAGAAATATTTAGGTAGTATCTTAACATAGCACAGCCTTCTGTGAAAGTGGTGTCCCCACCACTGGAGAAAGAGGGAACAGTAAGTAACACTCATCTGTTCTGTGCACCTGTAGATACATCTTGTTCCCTGAAAAGTTTTATACATAAATAAATTTCAGAAATTAGGGAACAGATAGTGTTAGTGTATCTAGATAACTCTTCAGTCTGTTTTAGTAAGTGTTTGCTTTCTTATTCCTGGAAGAGTGAAATCATGCATATTTTTGCAAAGGAAGTTCATCTGTATCCAGAGCATTTTAATAAAGTTTTTTTAATTAAAAGTCCAGATTGAATGAGTGGGTTCTGGCATTCTTTATATAAATGGTGAGGAAAACTGCATGTAGGATTATAAAACTGGATGTGGGAATGTGGAGAACAAGCTCCATAAGTGAGATTAAAAAACTGATGACTTTGATAAGCAGATGTGAAAACTGGTACGGAATGTGCATGAGGTTCTTGCAGTCCAAAGTGAGACTATCATGCATGCAAAATATCTAGACTCAAATTATTAAAGGATGTCCGATGTAAATATTTTACAGAATGCAAATATCGGTGCTTGCATTTTAACTCAAGACAAATTGGCTAATAGCTCAAACCTGGCTGAGTGATGCTATTGGGAGGTCAATTATGTTTTTTGTGAAGATCTTTTAGAAGATGCATTCTGTGCTGCAAGGATGCTTCAAGTGTGACTGTAGTTTGAAAAGGCATATAGATAAGTAAGAGACAAAGGGACCTCTAAAAGATGAAAAAATAGGGAAGAGGGTGAGTTAGGAAAAATGTAGGCCAGTGAAGAGATTCAAAGGTACATTGGACATAGTGCAAAACAATTGCATAAATGGTCATGATTGGAGTAACACTGAGGCTCTCTCTACACTGGCCTGAATTTCCGGAACTGCTTAAAACGGAATACTATTCCGTTTTCAGTTTTTCTGGAAAAGGAGCGTCTACATTGGCAGGCTGCTCTTCCAGAAAAGCCCTTTTCCCGGAAAAGCGTCTGTGGCCAATGTAGACGCGCTTTTCCAGAAAAGAGCCCTGATCGCCATTTTCGCGATTGGGGCTTTTTTCCGGAAAAGACTACTGGGCTGTCTACACTGGCCCTTTTCCGGAACAGTGTTCCAGAATAAGGACTTATGCCCGAGTGGGAGCAGAATAGTTTTTCCGGAATAGCAGCTGATTTTGTACAGTAGAGCATCGTTGCTTTTCCGGAAATTCAAGGGCCAGTGTAGACAGCTCGCAGCTTATTCGGAAAAGCGGCTGATTTTCCGGAATAAGTGGCCCGGTGTAGACACAGCCTGAGACAACCCAGATTTGGTACCGTATTGTACCACAATTCTCTCAGTAAAAGCGGCGAGGAGTCCTGTGGCACCTTATAGACTAACTGAAGTGTTGGAGCATAAGCTTTCGTGGGCAAAGACCCACGAAAGCTTATGCTCCAACACTTCAGTTAGTCTATAAGGTGCCACAGGACTCCTCGCCGCTTTTACTGAGAGAATTGTGGTACAATACGGTACCAAATCTGGGTTGGTAGCCTATCTGTATTATTAATCTCACTCTCATAAGCCCTAAAATTTATCAGCTTCCTAGTCTTAAATATTTATTAAAAATTCTTTCTTGCGTTACTTTTATTAAGTGCCACTAACCCAGTGAATCGAGTATAGAAACTACTACTGCTCGTACTCCACCTCTTTTCAAGTACAGGTTCAGTATTTGTCATCAACTTTTGAATAGTCTGGGCAGTGTGGCGTCCGTTCCTTTTGAGACTAATTGCAAGAGTTTTTCTTGAATCTATTTCTCCTGTTTCCACTCTTATTATGCAAATTCTTTTCCTGCAGGGTTTACATTCCTTAGATGTATGTAGACTTACCTAAATATATTTTTGTTTACAAAAGACACATTCAGCTCTTTGTCTGTCCAAGGGCCTTGTATAGGCAGAATTTATAATCTGGCAAATGATTGGTTCATAGGAAAATGAACCCGTTCTCAACATTTTACTTCCCTCTCCTCAGCTTATCAATCTTTTGGGTAGTGCACTATGTGTAGCTCTTCTAACTTGCTACCTTATCCGTAAGAATTTCAGTCTTGACATCTTCCAGGTTTTTCTCTCTCTCAGAGACATTGAGCTATTCCAGATGTTTTATGTCCCGATTGTGGAATATGTTATAACTACATTTGTTCTCAAGGCATTTGAAAATTAAACACAAAATGCTGTTGATCAGTGACTTGTTTAAGAGATCAGGGTTTGATTTGTTCCCATCCTGGTTTCAGCTAGTCAGATTTTTAAATTGATACTTTTTCACTGGTTAAGTAAGAGCTCTGTTACAATGAGCAACAAGAATGATTAAAGATTTAGATAACATGACCTATGAGAGAAGACAAAGAATTGGGCTGTTTAGTTTAGAAAAGAGAAGATGGAGAGGGGGATATGATAGCAGTTTTCAAGTATCTAAAAGGGTGTTGCAGGGAGGAGGAAACATTTTTCTTGATCTCTGATGGTAGGACAAGAAGCAATGGGCTTAAACTGCAGCAAGGGAGATTTAGGTTGACCATTAGGATAAACTTCCTGTCAGGGTGGTTAAACACTGGAATAAGTTGCCTAGGGAGGTTGTGGAAACTCCATCTCTGGAGATATTTAAAAGCAGGTTCGTCAGACATTTTATCAGGGATGGTCTAGATCAGTGTTTCCTAAATGGTGTTCCACAGGATTCTGCAAAGTGAAAATAAGGGTTCTGCGAGAAAATTCCATTACAAAATCATTTTATTTTAAAAAATGTGATTTTTATTTTTAAATATGTGCAATTAAACTAAATGTTGCCCTCATGACCGTGGTTAGCATTTATTTTGATCCTTAGTTGTGGTCTACTTTTTTTAGCTCCATATATTAACTATTAGGGGTGCTGCAAAATTATTTCAAGTTTAAAAGGTTCCGTGGTCACCAAAGTGGGAAACACGGGTCTAGACGGTGCTCGGCCCTGCCCTGAGGGCGGGACTGGAGTTGTTGATCTCTGGAGGTCCCTTCCAGGCTACAGGGCCCGGCTCCCCGCCACCCCTGCAGGCGGCCAGGCGCTGCCTCACGCGCTGTCTCGCCCAGCCCGGCGGAGCGGCTCCCCCCCTGTTTAAAAGGTTCCGTGGTCACCAAAGTGGGAAACACGGGTCTAGACGGTGCTCGGCCCTGCCCTGAGGGCGGGACTGGAGTTGTTGATCTCTGGAGGTCCCTTCCAGGCTACAGGGCCCGGCTCCCCGCCACCCCTGCAGGCGGCCAGGCGCTGCCTCACGCGCTGTCTCGCCCAGCCCGGCGGAGCGGCTCCCCCCCTCCAGCCGCGCGATGCCACGTCGCGAGGCGGGCCAGGCGCTGCTGTGCCGGCTCCCAGCAGGCC